TATATTGCAGGAATCATATCTCAGTGACTAAGGCACATGTAGTGTTTGGTAGAGTCAAACTGAAAATCTTCTCACATGTGACTGAGGTGAAATTATAATGAGACAACTGTATATTGCAGGAATCATATCTCAGTGACTGAGGCACATACAGTGTTTGGTAGAGGTCAAACTGAAAATCTTCTCACATGTGACTGAGGTGAAATTATAATGAAACAACTGTATATTGCAGGAATCATATCTCAGTGACTGAGGCACATGCTGTGTTTTGTAGAGGTCAAACTGAAAATCTTCTCACATGTGACTGAGGTGAAATTATAATGAGACAACTGTATAATATTGCAGGAATCATATCTCAGTGACTGAGGCACATGCAGTGTTTTGTATAGAAGTCAAACTGAAAATCTTCTCACATGTGACTGAGTTGAAATTATAATGAGACAACTGTATATTGCAGGAATCATATCTCAGTGACTAAGGCACATGTAGTGTTTGGTAGAGTCAAACTGAAAATCTTCTCACATGTGACTGAGGTGAAATTATAATGAGACAACTGTATATTGCAGGAATCATATCTCAGTGACTGAGGCACATGCAATGTTTGATAGAGGTCAAACTGAAAATCTTCTCACATGTGACTGAGGTGAAATTATAATGAGACAACTGTATATTGCAGGAATCATATCTCAGTGACTGAGGCACATGCAGTGCTTGGTAGAGTCAAACTGAAAATCTTCTCACATGTGACTGAGGTGAAATTATAATGAGACAACTGTATATTGCAGGAATTAAATCTCAGTAAAGACGGTTTAAAGTCAGTTTTCCACTTGAATCGTATCGTACTGAAACGTAGTGTATTTCTTTGTTTCTTGAGCGGTAGTGTGGAACAAATGACTTCGACACAAAAGAAAATGCTACGATACGTTACGATACGGTTGAAGTGGAAACCTGGCTTAATTCTGAAAAGCGCATGCCACCTGATATAAACTAGAGCTAACGTATATTCATGCCGATTCTTTTCAGCGTTTGTTATGCGCTAAATTATTTGGTACGATTACGTCATCACGCCGTGCTCGACGCCATGGCCTGCCTCACTTTAGATTACATAAAGTGAAGAATATCAAAATGTGGCTTTGTCTTAGATCCATGTTGAAGGTGCGTTGAAAGTCGAAGATTTTATGCCTAACTAAACTAACTTTATTTCTACTGGATAGTTCTATCAGTTCTAAACTGTTCTTCCTAGAGGTCCAGTAAGAATAATCTCTTATTGATCCAGTGTTACTACAGGAGGAAACCTAAACTAAATTACCTTTATTTCTACTGGATAGCTCTATCAGTTCTAAACTGTTCTTCTTAGAGGTTCAGTAAGGATCATCTCTTATTGATCCAGTGTTACTACAGGAGGAAACCTAAACTAAACTAACTTTATTTATGCTGGATAGCTCTATCAGTTCTAAACTGTTATTCCTAGAGGTCCAGTAAGAATCATCTCTTATTGATCCAGTGTTACCACTAACTTCATTTATAGTGGATATATTTATCAATCCTAAAGTACATCATATTATATTTTACTTATATTCCATTGTTCGCTTCTCATTTCAGAGACGAGGACCACAGCGTTCAGTTGGCGTTATTATATCCTCTACCTTTCTTTTGGGGATCTGTTTGGTTGTTATAACCTGCGTTCAGGTGGGAATCCATCGACGTTGTGACGTATTGCCGACGGTTTGGCAAGCTATATTAATGAGCACGTTACTAAAGATTTTAGTCTCACCCGAGATGCAGATAAAAGATCGTCACAGTTTCCAGCCCATATATAGCCTGCGAACAGACGTTTATTCAGGTGGACCTAGTACTAGACCTGAATAAACGCCTGTTCGCAGGCTAGCCATATACAATACACACTGTCAGGAAATGTACACTACTGGATATACACATTGATGTATTGTCTTTTTTTTTCAGCTTCTCAAAGGAACTGAAAAGGAAAGATTTTTGTCTAAATTATTCAACGTAGAAGTATTTATTTGGTAAGGAGAGAACAGTCAAGATCAAACGAGGATGAGAGTGTACATGAGAGTTCACAGTCACGTGATCTTGGTTAGCTGTTCTTAATGCTTTCCCAACACCATCATGTATTCTATTGAAGTTAAAACATAGTTGGAACATTCATCAAACCTTTATTTTGTTAATCTAGAGCCTAGGAATGCCCCCCTGTAACAATGTGTGACTGTCAACTCTCATGGACTTTCATTTTCGCCATGCAAACCTACCAAGAACTTGTCAAAGATCATGGGCGGACTTACTGGGGGGGGGAGGGTTAGGAGGGGTTACCCCCCCCCTAGAACCTCTCTAACCCCTCCCATAAGTGTTCAACTTCACCAAAATTTCGCTTCACCCCTCCTATTTTGTGTGAAAGTCTTTAACCTTAACCCCTACCGAAGCTCGCTCGGTGGTGCCGCCGTTTGCACCCCACTAGAAATGTTTCCACCCCTCGTTTAAAAAATATGAAAATCCGCCCTTGTCATAGATACCTAACTCAACTCTTTCATCTCCAGGTCCCTTGTTTTGTGGATCTATCAGTTACGATTTGTGACGCTAGGATCGAAGATAAATAGAAAATTTCGAAATAACTCCGTTCTAATGACAGAACAGTTAAATCTTTATCTGCAAATGGAGAAGAATCCTGCAAAGAAAGATGATCTCATGATTGCCAATAATGTTTTAAAACTTGCCACGAAACTATTAAAGGTAAGGTTGAGGAGATGTTGGTCTTAGAATGAGTCTCACTGTAGGCCCTTGCTCAGCTGCATAAATATAAGTCAAAACATTGAGTGACAGGATGGTATGGAGAACAGTGAGATTTTAAAACAATGAAAAGACAATGGAACATTCTGATCACTGGATGGTATGGAGAACAATGGGATTTTAAAACAATGAAAAGTTAATGGGACATTCTGATCACTGAAATCTGAATGGTATGGAGAACGATAGGATTTAAAAATATTGAAAAGACAATGGAAATTCTGATCACTGAATGGTATGGAGAACAATGGGATTTAAAAACAATGAAAAGACAATGGAACATTCTGTTCACTGGATGGTATTGAGAACAATGGGATTTTAAAACAATGAAAAGACAATGGAACATTCTGATAACTGGATCATGACTGGATGGTACGGAGAACAATGGGATTTTAAAACAATGAAAAGACAATGGAACATTCTGATCACTGGGTCGTGGCTGGATGGCACGGAGAACAGTGGGATTTTTTAAACAATGAAAAGACAATGGAATATTCTGGATGGCACTTTTGTTATATTCTTAGTGAAACTTATCTACCTAGTCCTGCATGGCCACTGATCTGTCTAAATTTACTGATTTTTTATCTCTGTAGGATTTAGAAAGTCCGTATAAGATATCGGGTTTGGCAACCAATCCATTATTATATAATATAACAAGAGTTGTTGTGCTATCATTGATCTCTGGTGTCATGTCGGATCTACTGGGCTTTCGGTTAAAGGTAAAGCATTTCATTTAAGACAGGTGTCGGTCTTGCACCTTCTGTCACTGAGATTCAATTCCTGCAATATCCAGTTGTCTGATCATAATTTCACCTCAGTCACATGTGAGAAGAGTGCTTCCAGTTTGACTCTACCAAACACCACAGGTTTTCCCTGAGCACTATGGCCTCCTTACTGGCCCTCTAGGGAGAACAGTTTAGAACTGATAGAACTATCCAGTATAAATAAAGTTAGTTTAGTTTAGATTTCCTCCTGTAGTAACACTGGATCAATAAGAGATAATCCTTACTGGACCTTTAGGAAGAACAGTTTAGAACTGATAGAGCTATCCAGTGTAGAAAATTAAGTTAAAATAATTCATTGATTGTAGGTATGGAAGATTAAAGCGTGATTATTATTGGATGGAGTTATGAAATGAAATATATGTATGTGTAAATATGTGAAAGCAAACATATCAATGGAGCTGGGCATCTATCTCTTGATCCATCAGGTATATATTTTCTTATAAAAAACTGATTTAAGAATTTCAAGCCTTTATCTAAAGTATTAGTCTGTGCAAAGAACGAAATGCAAAGGAAATATTGTTAAAGATTTATTTATATAATATATATAGCATTATCTATGTATATGTCGTGCAATTTACATACAATGCACAGGCGACCTGAACCACCTTTTTACTTCATTGAGAGATTTGTTATTATTGTTATATATTTGTTATAAGTTATTTTGTTATTTTCAAATATATTAATATGTTTGAATTGTTTGAGACTTAATATAGTCATTTATTGCATCCGTTAGGCTCACTAGTGTTCATTCAAGGATAATTCGATTTGGTTAAGTTCATATAGGTTAAGGATAAGGGTTGGTTTAAGTGTATAACATTGTGGGGGATAATTATATTAGAAAAGGTTTATGTATGGTAACCTTGAGTTAATATTCTGAATGTTGGCTATCTTGTTTGGTATAGAGCAGAATGTTCAAGCATGGGCGGATTTACTGGGGGGGGGGGGGGTTAAGGGGGGGGGGGGTT